CCTTCCAAAATAATCTTGAGTAAATACAATGAAAAAGATGCAAAATAGTTTCTTTTTCTTGACCTCAAAATGCACAGGTATTTGAAATATTAAGCTTAAAGTAAAGGTTCATATTTTAGCCTTTGACTTTTTGTAGTGACGCATTAAGTGACGCCACACTTCTGCGTCGTATTTTGTGATATAGACAAAGAGTCTAGAAGTCTTCTATACTCTGATACAGAATCAGAAGAGAGAAAACACTCGTCTGCTTGCTACACTGCTTTTATTGAATTGCTTCACTTAACCATAATTAAAACACTTATTTCTAGTGCTGTCAAACGATAAATCGCGATTAATCGCATCCAAAATAAAAGTTTTTGTTTACATATGTGTATGTACTGTATATATTTATTATGTATATTAGTGCTGTCAAACAATTAATCGCGATTAATTGCATCCAAAATAAAAGTTTTTCTTTACATAATATATGTGTGTGTATGCTGTTTATATTTATTATCTATATATAAATACAAACACATGCATGTATATATTTAATATATTTAATCATTTATTATCCGCGCGTCAGTTGTGCGGTATAATGAGCTATTAAATTATTGCGGGGCAAATGAATTGTAGTAGACCTATACATTTAATAATAAAAGTACCATAATAATAATAATAATGGTAATAATTTAATCCATTAATTGGAAATGCCAAATCCCCATCGATAGCTGAAGCCTTTTCTTTTTAGATATCTCTGGCTATCGTCCATATACTGTGTCATCGTCTGCGCGACTCGAGTATTTCACACGTATAGTGTGAGCACATAAATCGTGAGCTTTGACTTTACATCGCATTCGATCTGCTTGTACTTTGGTACCTTGATGAAATCGCATGGAAATCGTCACGCTTTCTTCCTGTTGGCGGCGCACAGTACAGCGACTCTACAGCAGCTAGAAATACCAAACCCGAAAATGTGCACAAATATATGGAAGCCCGTTTCCGCCACTGAATAAAAAATAAAAAAGGCAATTGCGACTTTTTATCTCACAATTCTGACTTTTTTTCTCATAATTGCCTGATATAAACTCGCAATTCTGAGAACATATCAGTCCCCCCCCCCCAAAATTGGACTTTAACTTGCAATTGCGAGTTTATATCACGCAATTCTGAGAAAAAAAGTCATAATTGCTAGGCTTGCCGCTATAGACGGTGAAGCCGCAACACCGGTTACGTCAATTGCCCACCGTGTCACCGACCCCCACCGTCGTTTAGATTTTTTATAGTAAATAGACTAAAGTGAGTTTGACGTTGTATTTTGTTGTTGCATTCAAGCAATTGACCCCGAATTGCCGCTAATTCGAAAGTGAAAGTAAAATGCGCACGGCGCTTTTAAGCTATTTAAAAGCGAAGGAAAGCGAGGAAAAGAGGGACAATTCAAACGAACTAAAAACAAACAACTGCTTTACGCCGAATTGCCGCTATTTTAAAGTGAAAGTAAAATGCCCACACTGCTTTTACAAGCTATTTAAAAGCCAGGGAAAGCAAGGAAAAGAGGGAACGCCCCCGCGGTGATACCGGTATTACCGGTGTTGTCACATGTCGATTAACCCGTGGGAAAATTTCCTCACGGACACAACCCTAACTGCGAGTTTTTATCTCGCAATTGTGACTTTACATCTCGCAATTCTGACTTTATAACTCGCAATTGTGAGTTTATATCCCACAATTATGTGAAAAAGTCAGAATTGTGAGATAAAAAGTCGCAATAACCTTTTTTTATTTTTTATTCAGTGGCGGAAACGGGCTTCCATACAAATATGATCCCATGAGAGCGCGAGAATGAACGGCGCAGCAGTGAACTGATAAGCGTGCTGCGGGACGTGTGTGGTGACGTATCCGCGCTGGACGTGCTGACGCTCGTCGGGAGAGCGGTGTGCGCAGGCGCGGCGCTGACAGCCGCGCTCTACCTGATCCGCAGAGCGTGTTACTGTTTAATAATGGCCTGGAAATCCGGAGGAGCGAGCCACGCGGAGCTCGTCAACAACCTCCGCAGTGAGTTTAACCCGTGCTGTATGTTTAAAAGAGCAAAGTCAGTCATGCTCACTGTAGCGCTTAGTAACCGGGGTTTGTTTACGTCGCTGTAGTGAAGGAAAGAGCGCGTCTGTGAACTAGCATCGCGTTACAGCCGAGGGAAAGTGCGCTGATGCGTGTTAGCATCATCTCAGCCTTGCTCCTGCGTCTGGTTTTGTTTCAGACAAGCACATGGTGGCTGCTGTTTAAAGCTTACAGAGCGCTTCAGTGCTCTTCATTTTTGTCAGCTAGCTGCTAGCAGTAATATGCGATCGTCTCTCTCAAAGCACCTGCAAATAATCTGCTCTGTTTAAACGATCGCTATTATATATATATATATGTCTCATTTCGGTTCACATTTTGTATTGCTTTGACTGAACAAACATGATGGTTTTGTTCAAGTACATGACACAGCAGCACCCGTGTTAGCATTTCCGTACTGAATCTAGTAGTTCCTGCAGGTATACATATTTGTATACAATAAAGAATTAGGTACATTTTACATAAACGCCAGATTGTTTTTAATCTGTTAAAACGTGCAGTTGTTTAATGGTCGTATGTGCAGTTTTAGTTGGAGTTGTTCAGTGGGCGTGGCACACCACATGCTGCTAATGTCATCGTGTGATGACGTCACGCTGGACTTTATGCATCTGCAGTTTAGTATTTTGAGCCTTGATATTATTAATGCTGCGAACATTAGCCACACAGTGAAATCGATGTCTATCTAATATTGAATTTATTTTTGATTTTTATTATGCTTTTGGCTTACCTGGAGAATGTATCTATTAATAAAATTAGCTGTTTTGTTAACAACAGTTGACCATTGGCCAGAGAGACCAATAATACTCGTCTGGCATGTAACCCTGTTCAAACCTGAACTCCTGGCTTTATTCTGAGGTCAAGTGGTCAGTGTGCTATATTTAGTGGTGCTTGCTAAGACAAGTATCACTGTTACTGTTACTGTTCCTGATACTTAGGGTTAGTGATTGGAACAAACTGCTTGCTTAAACTTGTAACTTGTCCTACCAATGGAAGTCAGTCGTTTCTCTCACCATTGTGTGCTGGAACATGTGTGACTCTTGGTTGTACCATGCAGTTTGTGCTTAGCCACTTTGGGCTACAGAAGTAAACAAGTAGTTGTCTACTTGCAAATTCTCCAAGAGGATCTAGCACTCATAGATATTGACGAATTACTAATAGGTCCAGATTATGACTGATGGTCAGAATTCTCTTTTAGATGGATTACTAACCAACATCCATGAGTGTTTAATAATGTGAGAGATGTTGGAAATGCCTCGTGTGTTATTGCCACTATTGATTTACATCACTAAGTGAGAAACGACTGACTTCCATTGGTAGGACAAGTTACAAGTTTAAGCTAGCAGTAGGGCTGGGCGATATGGCCAAAAAAATGATCACGATCCTTTCTGAAACGCGTTGATTTTGACAAAGCTCATCGGTCTGAAAAGCAAGGTGTCAAATCAAGAAACAGGTTTGGGTTGCCTGATAATATTAATAATAATAATATCACTTTTTTGTCTCTTAGAGATGCTCATTTGATAGTAGCTTGAGCTAGGATGCAGAGGTAAATTTTTGTTCATGATCAAAATCAGTAACGTCTGTAAAAATTGTAGCAACCGCAGTTTTATATGGTTACATTTATTCTGACCGTTTTTTTTTTTTTTAATTAAGCATTGGTCTTCCATAGTAGCATACATTTAAATCATGATAAACAGATAAAACCACACATATAGCACCTCAATACCATGGTAGCACACTGGATCTCACAGCGCTGCTTAAACGCATCTGCTCTAGTGAACTCGCGCCGCGCGGCTGTTTTGAACATTGGTCCGAGTGGATAAACGGTCTGTGTGGCGCGATTCAAAACTGTTTCGTTCCACTTTTGGCGCATAAACATTATATTAATCCGTTACATTACTTTAATAAAGTAATTGAAAAAGTTACACTACCATTACATTTTAAATAGGGTAACTTGTAATCTGTAACCTATTACATGTCTATCTAAGTCTATGACATATGTAATAATGTTATATGAATAATCACAAAAAATATTCCTTATACAGTGAACATTTTAATATGCATTTAAAATGGGGTTTATGCATAACATTATGTATATCAGGATACTTAACATTAGAGGTCGACCGATATGGGTTTTTCTCTGGCCGATGCCGATATTTTTTTTAAATAAATTTTTTCATGAGGCAGACGATTTCATTTGTTTGTTTGTGTGTGTGTGTGTGTTCGCCTGATTGGGAAGTTGCAGTGACAGAAACGACATTCCAGATAAAGTTTAAAAGGAGTAAAGCCTGTGTTAATGCTATTGAGTAGGCTAATATGGCCAAAGAAGATATTTGTTTTATAAATAAATGTTCATTTAAAAGCAGCCCACGATCAGCGTGTTATGTTACCGTTATCCCTTATGGCTCCGACGGGGTTTTGTTCCGTCCTCCACGCTGTGACAACTCACAAAAGACTATTTTTAGCCAAGCAGCGTGGAGAGCCGCTTTAGAAACGTGCGGCTGGCCGGTATAAGCACAAGCATTGACTAGAGCGGCCGTGATCAGCTCCTGTGGCCGTGGAGCCGTAAAAATGAACTGCTGTTAAAAATGAACCATCCATTCATCATCATGCAAAACATATAATTGACTAAAACGGTCAACTAACAAACTTAATTTAAAACGAAATAAAATTAAATTATTAATACATTTATAATATTATCTTGCCAATTTAACTCGATTCAACTAATATTTTCTTATCTCATGCAATTTTGCCACTGAATCAATTTATCTTGTTTTCTATTGACTGGATACACAATCCAGCGACCCTGCCAGCATGATGCTGTGCGTCATCATGCAAAGTCAAAGTCTCGATCACGCAAAGGTAAAACAGATGGGTGCGATGAATGGGAATCACACATTAAAAGGCGAGGTTGTGAACACTAACTCTCTTTTATTGTCTCAGACACAGACCACATTGATTTCCTCAGTGAATTATTTAGCAGCCGAAGCAAGCACTGTTGCCTGTTCTTAGAGGTCTAGATGGGAAACAATAAACAATACATGCATTGCAGAGGATTCAGAAAATGTTTAGCCTAAAGCATTACAATTTTCCCTCAAACATCCTGGAGAGAGTTTCGGTAAACTGTTTTGCAACTACTTGACAGCATGTGATATTTACATTCGAACATGGTTATTTAAACTGCAGTAAAGTTGGTTTTACAGATCATGAAGTGGAGTCTTGGCAAGTTTACAGAGTTAAAACAAGTGAGAATTACAGTGTCACAAAGGCATGACTCTATGGAGTCCCGAGAGCGTCTCTCAGAGTGAGGATGTGTGACTGCTGTGTAATTGTTTGCCTTCAGCCTGTATTTATCGTCAACCCTTGGATAATCGGAGTGTCAAGATCTTTGTAGGCACTGAAGCGTGTGCCTTATAAATTTAATGACCGGAATGTTCATTGGCTAAACCATATGCTGTGTGCGTTTTGCTGTGGTCTGCTTCATAGTGCAAGGTTTTCCCAATTAAAACCGAACAACCAAATCACCATCCATAAAACTTGATTAATACTGTAATGGTAGGCCTATATTAAAGTGTACTTTTGCTATAGGATTACTGAAATTTCAGTGTAAAACGTTATGTAATGTGACACAGTTTTAATAAAACTAGATGGACCTATTCCACAACAACAACAAAAAAGTACGGTGGAACTTGATAGATCAGAAATTGATTAAATCATGTCAAGTGTGCATTGCATACCAGAATGGAGTCAGATCTGAATCTGAAAGAGTTTGCAAAAACAATGTTTAAATATATGGGAAAAGAAAAAGAAAGACCTTTTAGAGGAAGAGCACGTTATTACACTTTGATTTAAGATTTAAATGTGCATCAATGATTAATTTACAATAAGAACTTGCAGAAAAAAAAGTAAATAGTATAAATTTTGACTTAAAAGACAACATGAAATTAAAAAAAAAATTTATTTATTAAATGTCCCTTGTCTTATTGTGCCATATAAACAAACAAATAAATTATGTGTGTGTGTGTGTGTGTATTATATATATATATATATATACATATATATGTTTAGTTTTTTTCCTCCTGCTGTACTGAAACCATACCGAACCGTGACGGCAAAACTGAGGTATGTACCAAACAGTCATGTCGATCGATTGGAGCATCCCTAATATATATATATATATATATATATTAGGGGTGTAATGGTACACAAACATGACTGTTTGGTACATACCTCAGTTTTGCCGTCACGGTTCGGTATGGTTTCAGTACAGCAGGAGGAAAAAAACTAATTATTATTATTTTTTTTTTTAAATGTAACAATGGTTTACTGAACAAATTGCACTTTAACTATTTATTTTTAACTATAATAATCAACACTCAAATTAAAAAATTGTTCGCAAACATGTAAATAGTTTTTTAATTAACTTCTAAATTATACAATTTCTATTTGTTGTTGAAATAATAATTTACAGAGTCAAAACTTGTTTCATAAAATATTTATTTAAACGCATACATTAATTAAGACATCACTAACAGGTAAAGCAAGTATAGTGAATTATAGTATAATATTTTGCAAAATGCTCTTCACTAGACTTCCTTTTTCTAGCAGATAACGAGCTGCAGGTCTACACTCATGGCTAGCCTGAGGTAAATGAAATGATACGTGACCTTTTGTTTACAAGTTTTAATGACGTCTTTCCGTGGTTGAAACACTAATTGAGAGATTATGAGATGTTCATTCATGTTTATTTTGTGTAAAACTAGTAATAAAGAGGAAGGAATGATCACGCTCACTCTCACTCCGCGCTGCTGTTAGAACTGAGGCGTTAGTATACGGCGATATGTCGCGCCACATCAAAGAGCACCAAAAAGGCATTTATTGTCTGAATTTCCTTAAAAATGGAACAATTTGTTCGGTACACATGCGTACCGAACCGAAAGACCTGTGCCAGAAATGTCCAGTGCAAATACGTGTACCGTTACACCCCTAATATATAGCTACATACAGGCTGTTCTCTCAGCCAATTAGTCATAGCAGGGAAGAATATCAACTCTAGCTGGAGGGGAGAGAGAAAGGCTAGTAATTGTCAATTTATATATTTTTATTCCTTTTTTACTTGTTCTATTTTTTTATTTTTTATTATCTGTGTTTTTTGTTCTGTCACTGTCATTCTGTTACACTGTGGAAGCTTCTGTCACGAAAACAAATTCCTCGTATGTGTAAACATACCTGGCAATAAAGCTCATTCTGATTCTGATTCTGATTACCATAGATCAGCCGTTAATGATCTGTGTGACTTTGCCAATGTGGATTTTTTTTTCTGCGACAAAAAAATTTTGGTCGACTATTAGGGGGCAGCCCTAATATATATATATATATATATATATATATATATATATATATATATAC